ATTTGAACTTTCAGGGCATCAATTTTTTCATAGAGCCCAGGCATTCCAGAATAATCATCCTTAGTTCCATTCTTCCCTGTTGCAAAAAGAAGATTCCTTACTTTCATATTGGGATCCAACCATTGCACAGGCACTTCCTTAGTTTTGTTATGGGAAGAATGGCCTAACAGTTTTAAGTTCTTTGGGTCTGTCTTCCAGTTGTTGAGTCTTTACAAAGTGTATGTAAGTGACAGTCTGGCTTAGGAACCAAGATGGTGCTTTCTGTACATTGAGAACTTCCAGATCATTAGAAATCACTTCCAGAATCCACTGAGCAAACGTTTTCTGAAAGGCTACAAGAATCTTCTCTACAATAGAGTTAGTTCTTTTACATCTTCTGCTTCAAACGCTTTGTAATTGAGAACATACACATATACAAAAGTAAGCTGGAAAAAAATACTTATCATCTTTGTATACTTGCAAATCAGCTTAATATATTTATTCCATGATTATTTTTCCTTTTTAATTATTTTTTCCTAATTAAGAACCATATTTGTAAAGCTATAAAACCAAAACAAAATTACTTCTGGATTATGTTAATTGGAGATTACAATGTTTGTGGAAGGCAAATCAAATACACTTTAATTAATATGGCTGCATCTTAATTTGGCTGTCATGTGGTATTTCTGGCTATTTAAAACTATCCCCTAATGTAATTTCCATAATCATTATCACCCTTCTTCTCTATAACAAAATTTATACACATTTCTTGACTTCCGGTGTAGTTGTTAATTAGAGGGATCTTCTCCACGACAAGTTTTCAGTTTATTGAATAAAGCTGTCTCTTCTTAATTGAGGCTTTCTCACATTTGTCCTTATCTCCTATATTTTGACAATATGTTGCCTTGAATTTGAAGCAGTATGAAAATAACCCATTCTATATTATCTGTTTTTATGTGACATGCTTTAAAAAAATCTGCATTTTGCAATTTGGCTTTCAGGGTCATGTTAGAATTGAGACGCAGCTGAATGGCTCACTTCACATGTCTTAGTTTTAATGCTTTCTTGCTGGCTTTAAACTGGGTTGCATTCTTCTTTCTTCCTGTTTAGAAAATCACTTAAGGGTGAACATGAATTCAATTGGAGCTGAATACATGATTAAAGTTATTTAATTCAATTACGTATCCCAAAGCACATAATTCAAGTTACTTTTCTTAAAGCATGGGCTGGAGCAGAACAGTACTGCCTATTAAGCAGTTATTAATTGCAGGAGCACAATTATTGGTACTACATTTAAAATGTGTGTGTAAAGGGGAGGGGGGGGGCTAACAAGATGAGCCACAAAATCTGTTATTTATTCTTTTGAGATATGCTTAATAGTAGGCCAGAACCACAGGTCACCTCATTTATAAGTCAAGGGTCAGTTTTGGGTGGAGGGGGGGGATTATGGATTTTTGAAGGATCTGTGGATAAACTGAGGGGAGAGGAGAAGCACCAATGCTGCCTTAGGGGACCAGCCATCCCTGGCCACTACCTCCATTTCCCATCCAGTCATTCAAAGAGATCAGAAGGGGTATCAAGGCTGAGAGTCGATGGAGTCAATGCTTCACTACTCCACTCAGAGAGGGGCATGGTTCCTTTTCTGACAAATATTTACATATTGACCCATTGATAAATCAACTCAGTTTTTTTGTCCATATTTGGCTTTAAAATTCTAGATTTATACAGATTTATAGATTTATAAGATCTGACCCGAAATTAATTATTTAATTATAGTCTTGGAACACTTATGATAGCAAATGTATTTAATTATAGTCTTAGCACATTTATGAAAACATCAAAGGTAATTCACATCCAGTCATAAGATTAGTGAGATATTATAAACCTCTTTACCTTTGATTGCATTAAAAACCTTATTACCTAGTATTGCACCGGGATTGTGGCGCAGCTGGCTGAGTGTCAGCTGCATTAAGATCACTCTGACCAGAAGGTCATGAGTTCAAAGCCAGCCCGGGTCGGAGTGAGTGTCCGGCCAATTGTGTAGCTTGTTGTCTACCTTTGCAACCCAAAAGACAGTTGCATCTGTCAAGTAGGAAAATTAGGTATCACCGATGTGTGAGGAAACTAATTAACTAATTTATGAGGCCATAAAAAGACTCCAGCAAAAAGCACTCCAGCAAAGCATACGGGGAATGCGGAAGTACTTCATCAGTGTCGCAGATGGACAATGAAAGCAACAGCTCCCCTGGTGGCCAGAAAAAGTTAAATAGCCTCTGTGTATGTCTATATACGTTGTATGTCTAATTGGCATTGAATGTTTGCCATATATGTGCACATTGTAATCCGCCCTGAGTCCCCTGTGGGGTAAGAAGGGCGGAATATAAATGCTGTAAATAAATAGATAAATAAATATTGCTGGTTTGTCCCTAGTATTGTTGGCAAATTTATTTATTTATATTGTATTTGAGGCATATCTTACCTTTTGCCCAAAACTAGAACTCAAGACAGTTCGTAAAACGTTAGTTCTGTGTATCTCAATGTCATTCAAATTAAATATTTAACATGAGAAAATGTGATTCTTAGATAATAAAGGTGTTTTTTTTTTAAAAAAACCAAATAATATCTACCGTTGTCATTCCAGAATGTAGTTGGGCATAATCTTTTGTTTATCAATAGGATACATGTTTTGAATGCTGAGGTTCAATTCCCCATTTGTGCCTCGAATCAGTGTTTGCACTTGGTAGAAAGCATCTTCTTATGTCTCTCACTAAATTGGGCATTTGTTTGTGTATTGTAATACTATTCAAACATGGAGCATTTGTAATGCAAACCTTACTCTTAAAGTTTTATTACACAAATTACATATATCATTTGCCTGCATACACACATACAGGCATTGCTAAGGTCCATCTTATTTATGACTTCAAAAAGCGCAATGAAGAGAAATCTGAGAACAATGAGATGTGAATATTTCACTTGCCAATTGGTCACTGACCTGATTTTTTTTAAGATTAACAATTGGCCAAATGAAAAGCATCTGTCATTTTATGACATGAGAAGAAGACAATCTTGTGCTTTCTCCTGTGATAAATCTGTGCCTGAGCTATGCCAAGTAAGCACTAAAATGAGTTCTTAGTCTCAACTGGAATAGATTCATTAAAACAGTCGGAACTTTGTTAAGTCAGCACTTACATCAATTTCATTGAGTCAGTGGGTTTGCTGTAGTGGGTCTACTGATGTAATTTAAGCCTAAGACTGCAGGTGCGGGCCCACATTAATAGATACAGAAAATTCCTGAATATAGAAAATCACCATGTTGGGGAGAATGGTACACCAGATCCCTTGATATCCATGTTTCAGGGAAAAGAGTTTTTGAGGATCGTTGACCCATATGGATCTTCAATTGCAGCCAAAAGTAGCTTAAAATTAACAAATTAACAAATTAGAAGCACTGTAATCATCTGTATTTTATTTATTGGTTTATTGCATTTATATACCGCTTTTCTCATCCCTGGGGGCAGGGGGCTCAAAGTGGTGCACATCAAATAAATGGCAAAATTCAGTGCCTCACATGTAATAAATCTATTGTCACTCACCAAATGCTTGTTTACATAAGCAAGCTTTTAGCTGTTTTCTAAATGCCAGGAGGGAGGGGGGGTGATTTAATCAAATTTGGAAGGGAGTTCCATAGCTGAGGGGCCACCACTGAGAAGGCCCTGTCTCTCGTCCCCACCAATCACACCTGCAATGGTGGCAAGACCAAGAGCAGGATCTCCCCAGCTGATCTTAATGCTTTAATTGGCTCATAAAGGGAGATGTGTTCGGATAGGTAAGCTGGCCCAGAACTATTTGGGGATATATAGGCTAAAGCCAGCACTTTGAATTGTGCTTGGTAGCAGACTGGCAGCTAGTGGAGATGGCGTAACAGAGGGGTTGTATGCTCCCTGTACACTGCTCCAATAAGGAACCTGGCTGTCGCCATTGGACTACTTGAAGCTGCTGAACAGTCTTCAAAGGCAAACCCACGTAGATCGCATTGCAGCAGTCTATTCAGAATGTAACACGAGTGTGGACTGCCGTTTCTTTTTAGGGCAGGGATAATGAGAACTTAACATGATTCAAGATGCCATAATGAGGAAGAGTTAGTAGTATAAGAAGTTATGTTTTCTATTTACTTTTTTTTAAAAAAAAACAGCTGTAGAAATATTAATATTTTCTAATGACCTTTTAAAAATTAAAGATATAATTTTAAGGCATTTTTCAGAAGCATTTTCATCAGATGTGTTCAGGTACTTTGCCATTTTCTTATCAATACAAAAAATGGAAAAGTAACAAAACAAAAAATGAAAATTTATTTAGCAAAAACTAAAGCACATGAAAGTTGATGTTCAATGAAACTGATTAGTCCTTTAAAAGAGAAATGATGTCTACAGGTTGTAGAAAAAATAACAAATTCTTGTGCAACAGCTAGCCAACGTTTCTCTTTTTTAAAGTAGAGAGTTATCATACAAATATTGCAATGGTCAATGCTACTGGGTTGCTTTTGGAACACTTAGACAGCTGATGCTCCACATTGGAAGTTTAACTTTTGTAGATTTGCCAATTCTATAATAACATGAAATTAATTTATAGTACATTTCTTAGATATATGTGTTTTCCACAACTTGACATAATGTGTTTAAATATTATGTTCATCCTTGCTTTACCTATAAGCTATATCTTGAGATAAATGAACTCTAAAGGTGGCTTGAAATTGAAAACCGTTCATGCTAGTGCTTCTGCTGCTGTCTTTTGATGAATTGCAATTTTATATATGTCTACTGAGAAGTAAGTTCCATTGAGTTCAATGGGATTTGCTTTCAAGGAGTATAGGATTGCAACCTTAGTTGCTTCTCCCTATAGTCTCCCTCAGCTTTCCATCTGAAACCTTCCTTTTCTGTCTTCTTCCTTTTACTTTCTTTTTTTACTGCATTGTATATTCAACTCCCGGCTGACAGTGTCTTTACATCCAAAATGCAAAGCAGACAGATGGGTGTTTCGGGACAGAACATTACTAAGAGCACCAGCATCAGCGGGGAGATGTACACGATAGAGAAGAACGACGGCAGCCAGTCTGACACAGCGGTGGGCACTGTGGGCACAGGCGGCAAAAAGCGACGATCCAGCATTGGTGCAAAGATGGTCGCCATCGTGGGTCTTTCACGGAAAAGCAGAAGTACCTCACAGCTCAGCCAAACTGGTAGGATCATGATTCCAGTTTTTACTCTAGTTGTACTTATGACATAAACTGCATGGCTGTTAAATTTATAGGTGACAAGACTGAAGAAGTTTAAATTTCTGGAGGTTTTATCAAGCCACTTTATTTTAACCACTCTCAAGCTGGATTGTGGCTCGTTTTCCTTTTACTGCAGACCACAGTAATATCTTCTTTTCTCAGGAACCAACATCAACTGTTGCATTTTTAGGTTGTGATGCCATTTATTCCTTTGGTGTGTCTTCCACCCATCAGTGCAACCCTCTGTTTTACATTTCTCTTGCTTCTCATCTTCAACATGTTCTGCTGTAGGCGCAGAGAATAACAGTTTTATTGATTTCTTTTTCTTCTTTTTACTTCTTTTCAGCTTATCATTGCGCTAAACTAATTTGATTAGTTTCAGGTCAAAAATACATTACTATTTGGTATTTATTTAGTTCTACCACAATCTTGGATACAATATATTATTCACAACTTCTGTATTTTCTAGATGGAAAGGGGAAAATTTTCTGTACAATCCACTTTGTACAATCCACTTTGTATATGAGTGCAGAACTTGAGATGCATGCTTATAATGCAGTTTTTGGCTCAAATATTTCAATTTTTGGAGCATATTTTGAAATAGAAAAGTTATGTGCTTGTAATATATCTTGCATTTAGGTAAGCCTGGGTTAAAATCTATTCTACCAAGAATCTGAAAGAATGTTTTGGCATATGTTAAACAGTTTATTCAAAAGTTGGCAATATCTGCAAGCGGTTTATATAAAATATAATCAATTCCATTGGAATATGTTTGAGTGTATTGTCCATACATATTCACAGCAATGATGGCTTTGATTTTGAGTTTCTGAATCCCACCAAATCCTATGTGGCATCACAAACACATTAGTGTATTTAAGAATAATGTGAATGTTTCTGCAATTCTTTGTACAAATACTTCTTTTGGTACAACTACTGGTGTTTAGGTTTAAAGTATGGGGCCAAAGGAAGTAATGGAACACGTGAAGCAGGTGTAGAGCAACAAGATGGTGTACTGGGTACTATGGTTTTAAATTGGTCAAGCAATGTGGACAGAACTACTAAGACTATTGAGTTCTCTTGATCTTATTAGAGTAAATTAAATTAAGAACTCATTGGATCAGACAAGGTTAGTTAAGTTTTTCATCTTTAGGAGTTTTATTTTACAAGAATCATATGGTTATATTATCAACCCCTTATCTATTATGCAGTGTGCTGTATTTCACCAATTCTAAGACGCACTCCCCACCCCACAATGAAACTCAAAAAAGGGGTGCACATTAGAATTAGTGGCACCCTAGATTCATGTTTTTTAAGAAAAGAGGATGAGTAGCAGTGGTGACAACTGAGATACTCAAAATAATAATAATAATAATAATAATAATAATAATAATAATAATATGATGATGATGATGATGATAACAACAACAACAACAACAACTTTATTTTGTACCCCGCCTCCATCTCCCTGAAGGGACTTAAGGCAGCTTACATGGGAACCAAGCCCAATCACATAGAGTTAAAAACATAACATGTAAATTATATAACAACAGTATAAAAACAACACAAAACAGCATTATAACAATAATAAAAAAGCATAATAAATGACAACAAAAATATACTTCAAGTCTCGTTTGGGAGGGTGGTGTGCAAATAATTTAGGAAGTAAGTCTAGTCAGTAAGGTGCATAGGTCAAGAAGCAAGTGGGGAGCATGAAGCAGTCATTAAGAGTGGGGGGGGCAGTAGTGGCAAAGGGGTGAGACAAGAAGAAACTTTGTGTGCCAGAGCCATGAGGCGGTGGCAGTAGAGAGGGGAAGCAATGGAGAGCCGCTCACACAGTTACTTCCCATCTTATTGCCGCTGCCACCTTCACTCTTGATGGGTGCCTTTTGCAGTGGCTGAGAGATCTTGCTTCCTACTCTCAGCCACTGGAACTACTCTATATTAATGTCTCCATTGCATCATTCCAGGTGGGCAACCGTTCCTGGTGTGTGTGTGTGTGTGGGCGGGTGGATGGGGTGGGGTGGTGGTGGCAATTTTCTATTATTGGGCTTAACAGAGGCTTCATCAATCATGAAAAATCAGAATGAAGAGACTGCAAATCCACTTTTGTTTTACTTGAAAGGATTTGGAAAGGAAGCTGTGTGGAACCATGCTCCACATATTGCACAGCTCCTGATTTTGGAAGATTGTTGTTAATGCCATTTTTTCCACACAAAAAATACAACAGAGAGAATTGTGGTTGGAGCTGCACTTTGTAAAGATGTAAATTTTTCAGTTCAAGAATACCAACATATGAAAGGCTGGTACATTTCAACGGTTCAATTTTAAATCTTCTATACTTGGTCCTTTTAATATTTATCTTCTATCTTTCAAATATAACCGGTGGTTATATAGTAATATGGCAGAAGACATACCTGAGAGAGCTTTAATCTGGGGGAGAATGTAATGAAAAGATTTGTTTCCCATAATGGGTGCATGCAACCTACTTCTGGACTTATTTTGAATTATGCATAGTGACTAAAATGGAGATATAAAGTGGTTTATATTCATGTGTATGATCTGCATGCCAGAATTTTATAGGTATTGCTATGTTCTAATTCTGTATCATACTTCCCAAGAAGTTCATGGTTTTAGAAAAAAGATTGTTTTTCACTGAAATTAATACCTTCTATTATAAAAATACAACTTTGTGTTTAAAAGATACATCACAATAATTGGATTTTAAACAGAGCTACAGTATAAGGATATTTCAAGTCCCATGAATCTCAACTTGAGTGAATTGCTAAATCATGATATGTCAAATTTGCACTCACTTACTTAGTCTACTCTAGTTGAGAATAGAAATGGAATTTAGATAATAATTATTCTGTTATATTAATTACTAGAAAGTCACCTGTGAGAACCTGATAGATTTGATTTTTCCAATTACAATATGCAACATGTAGTTAAAATTATAACATAAACATTAATAAACATTAAAATAATCAAAGTAATAGAAAGATAAATTTATAATATATTATGAGTTGTATTCATGAACAGGGTTGAATCAAATCACAAAGCATTCACTGAGATCAGTGGGCTTGTCCATTCCTACCCTTTTCCTTCACATTCCCTTGTATAGTATTCTAGCTTTATGCTAACAAAGGACATACTTTGCAGTAAAAATATCAGTTTTTTTCAACAGTTGAATAAGAAGAGGTACATTTTATTTACAAAAATTACTGCTTATGAGTGCTTTTCAATGCTAAGTTGATAAACAGCAGAAGGCAAATAGATTACTTGAAAATGTACCATGTCACATTAAATATACATTTCAACCCTAAATATTTATACTGTAAAGTATGTGCCTGTGACGTCAGCCTTATTTCGGCAGCATCAGACTTACTCATGTATTGTGGTGTTTTCTTTTTATACGTGTTCATATGTAACAATTAAAGCATGCATATCCTTGGATCCTAAATATTTGTAGTGCAAAATATGTGCCCATGATGTCAGTTTAGCACTCCTGATACATCAGAATCAACCATTATTTCTCCCTGCTGTATATTTTCATCTGTTCAAACTAAAACATTTATATGCTTAGCTTTGATAGAGGGCAGAGCAGTATTCAGAGCAAAAATGTTCATAGGAAATTGGATGGATGAATGGTTCTCAGTAATGTCTATGTTGAGCTCAAGCCTTAGCCCTACTCCATCCTGTCTTTTCTGCTCTGTGTGAAATTGTTATTGTTTATGGTCTGGGTTCAGAGAGATGCATCTGTTGATAAAATTGTTTCCTCAGTAGAACTGTAAGAGGCAACACTCCTTCATTACTGTAGATATCACTCCCCAAACCTGCTTCAGAAGATGGTGAAATTGACTGGTAGTTGTTTGGTTGTTTTGGACCACTTAGGAAGTTGTTTAGGCAGGAGGTTTGTCAGGATAGCACACACCAGTGTGACATTAGACATAGGCCACTGCAGTAATTTTTTCTTTTCTTGTGAAGTATTCAAAACATAGTACATAACTTTCTCCCCAGCCCAGGGTTGCAGAGGTCCTTAAAAAAAAAGATGTCCTCTCACAAGCCAGAAATGATGAGAAGTCACTTCTTGATTTGTTTTTAGTAAGTTTATTCTTAGTTAGAGGGTATTTGGGATGTAGTGGTCAGGGTGAGTTTCTTGCAATTTTTTGTCTGATCTTTAAAAATGGGATGTTGTGTTTGGGAGTTGCAAGAAAAGGGGTGTTGAAGGCCACATGCTCCCATAGGCTACACTTTCCCCACCTCTGATCCAGGTCTTGAACATCATATGTCTTCACAACATGCTGTGGATTATACTGAACATATACGTGTCTCTGGAAATCATTGTAATTTCAGTGACATTCACACACCACATTAATTAAAATGTAGATTTTAAAAGTGGTTTTTAGTATGCACATTTCACAATTTAAATTAATTTCTTGCAATCATTTAAGTGGATGGAGAACTAATAACCACTCTTTATAAATTAATGTTATATGAAATGCAGTGATTAATTATTGTGTTCTACATTTCATACTTTTTCTTGCACTATGCATGTCTACTTTTTATTTCAAGATCAATTGAAATTGCTAACATTGCAGCCTCTGGTTTGTTCATTGATATTGTAAGTTGAGGAAGGGAAGGCCCAGAAGACATTAGTGGGAAAGCAGTTTTTGCTTTTTCTGAAACACAAGACAGAAACATTGGAAATTTTACAGAAATTGGAGGGAAAAAAGTGATGTCTTTTTGTAGTGATTTTAGCTAGAATCTCGGTTAGAGAGTCCATGCCCAGTGATCATAAGTTAAGCCAGGTAGGCCACAGCAGAGAAACAAACTCACCAGGTTGAAGACAAGTTTGGTTTATTATGATTTGGCAAAAAAGTATACAAGTACAAGCAATTTGCTTCAAAAGGTACAAGCATAAACATACAGAAAAATGCAGGACATCTTATACCATTCTGACAGCT